TTTTCTTTTAGAACGATAGTTAGCATTACAGTTATCTTAATTTTATTTACTGTCACCATAAATAGCATGCTTATATCAATACTCATACTAAAATTTCCCTTAACCTTAATGCTTACCTTCTATTTTCCCTTGGATAATTGTTTGTAGCAATCTATATTTGAGTCATCTCGTTACATGTCCGAAGTACTCCAGCTTTCTCTTTTCTTTTGATGCTTGTACATATAAGTAGTCTTTCTAGTGCTAGTATGTGACTTTCGAATATTCTCCACCCAAGAAACATTCTTCTATATTCACGAGCGACTTTCTGTGTTACAGTTTAAATGATATTCAAGGTAAACAATTTATCAAATTGCTGAAGTTTGTTATTATCTACATATATAAACGGTTTTATCGTCCGTTGTTTATTTATTACGAGTATTTTGGTTTTTCTTATGTTCAGATCAAGACCTGCTTCCTTACAGCTCTCAACGACCTGTCAAGTAATGCATATCGCAAATTATTTATGACTTCATCAATTACAATTATTCCTTTTTGTTTTTCAAAAAGTGTATTTCTGAAAATTCTTTCGGAGTAAACGTTGAAAAGCAGGGGCAACAAGTGGCATCCCTACTGTACTCCTCTTTTAATATTAAGAGCCTGTGATTCCAGAACCAGATATAGATGACTCCCAGTTTGGATTCAGAAGAGGACTAGGAACGAGAGAGGCTCTGTTCGCTTTTAACGTTCTTGCGCAAAGACGACTAGATATGAACCAGGATCTCTTTGTCTGCTTTATAGATTATCAAAATGCTTTTGATATAGTACGACATCAGCAACTCGTAAAACTGTTAAAAGAAAAGAATGTGGATAGTCGAGATATACGAGTTTTTGTCAATCTGTACTGGAATCAAAAAGCAAAGGTTATAATCGAAAATGTCGATACAGAAACAATAGCAATCAAAAGACGTGTTAGACAAGGTTGCGTGCTGTTCCCATTGTTATTCAATCTGTACAGCGAAACTATTTTTAAGGAAGCAATATTAGAGGAACAACAGAGCATATCAATAAACGGAAAAATCTTAAAAAGCATAGCAACATACAGTAGAAAGGCTAGATATCGAGGGAAAACAAGTAAAAAGAGTGAATACCTACAAATATCTGGGAACCTGGGTAAATGGAAATAATGACCAAGGTAGAGAAGTAAGGACACACATTGAAATTGCAAGACAAGCATATATAAAAATGAGAACAATGTTTGTCAATCGAGACCTTCCTCTGAATCTGAGGATAAGAGCCTTAAGATGCTACGTGTTCTCGACTTTGTTGTATGGAATGGAAAGCTGGACATGAAAGTGGATAATATAAAGAAGTTGGAATCACTTGAGATGTGCTGCTATAAAAGGATTTTGAAAATACCATGGACCCAACGAGTTACAAATGCAGAAGTGTTAAAAAGGCTACAAAAGGATTGCGAGGTCATAAAGCACAATAAAACAGAAAGCTGGAATATTTAGGCCATCATTACCAGAGGTGCGAAATATGAGATATTAAGGCTCATAATTCAAGTAAAATCAGAGGTAAAAGATCCATAGGAAGACGAAGAACTTCCTGGCTGAGAAACCTAAGAAAGTGGTACAGTTGCAGCTTAGTAGATCTTTTAGAGCAGCCGCCAATAAGGTACGGATAGCTTGTGATGATATCCAACCTCCGATAAGAGAAAGAACTACAAGACGAAGAAGAGTCTAGACCGTCTGCTTAAACTGATATTGTTTAATGCCAATATAAATTTGCAATTATACGAACGTCTCTACCATCCAAGCCAATGTCTCTTAGAACTTCGATCAATATAGTGCTTAACACGATTAAATGCCTTATGGAAGTTAATAAATCAACAGGACATGTCTACAGATATATCACGAGATCTTTGAGTAAGTACGTTCATCCCAAACAATGCCTCTCTCATTTCAAACCCGTTGCGGAATTTAATGAGACATCATAGATACGGCTTCCTTCAGCTCATAATAGATCAAAAGTCGACGTAAATTAGGACCCAAAAGTGTTTCTGGCTCAAAGAAATACAAACTTGGACAGGATTGGAATTTAAAGTCTTGCCGAGAAAGAAAAAAAACACAGAAGAATTCGTTGAAATTGTTACCGATTTTTTTATAGGAAAAAAAGAAAACAAACCTATTTTTTAGTTATTTATTTTGCACGTAATATTAAATATGTATACAAAAGCTGTAGTTAATAAATTCCATAAAGTGTAGACCACTAAAACCCACATTTTTCAAATTTTTTTGGATGGACTGTAAGGTGATGTCTTTCGTATGGTAACATCTCTTACCGACTGTTCAAATTATTCTGCAAGATATAAGTTATGTAAAACTACAGGTATTCTGAGGAATTAGATCTTTTGCAGAAATTGTTTAATTTCCAATTTAAAAATTTGAATCTGCTTCTGCTATATATAAAACAAAATTGGCACCAGGAACTTATGGAAAATATTGCGGTGTTATATGTATAAACTATAGTTGTAAATGAGAAACCACGATAAGAAAGGTTACAAAGTATTTCGTTTTTTATTAAAGTTGTCTACTGTATAATTTTAAATCTGAACTGAACTTGTTTTTAATATACTATCTTTTTTTTTCTTATATTAGGCTTCGGGCCTGTTCGTATCCAATACTAAAACTTAAGTCGTATTTATGACCTTAACTGCCAGCTATCTCACCAGATTTTTAAAGGTCTTCTTGGACTTCTTTTTGGTTTTAATCCCCAGTTATTCTGGCTAGTGTCAAACTATCCATTCGTGAAACATGCTGGATCTTTTATTTCGTTATTTGTTATTTTGTTTAATTATTGGTCTCTCAGCCCTCGATTTCAAGGTACTTTTTCTTATTTCTAACGTTCTAGATATTCTCTCTATTTGTGCTGTATCGACTCTCATTTCTATCGCAAATATTAATATTGGTCTTCATTATGTTTTCTCATCTAACCTCGTATGTAGCAAAAAGCTCGAATGTCGGTACTTTAAAGAAATTCATATTAAAAAAATTGCGCAAATCCAAGATACATTGCATGTATCACTCAAACGTCATCGTAATTCACCTTATAGGGATAAGACAAGCAGATTGAATTATCTTATAACAAAATCCTAAAAATAAAATGAGCTTTTTCTTTCTGATTCGTAAAGAGTTTTGGAATTTAGTTAAAATTAATTTTAAGTTTAAAATCTGTAAAAACTTAGATCCTATTTGCTAATTTATGGTACTGAAAAGCCCACGTTAAATTCTATTAATACATACAAGACCAGTAAGCATGCAAGTCATCCATGTATATCAGAATAAAGTGAAATATTGTAAATGTTCTTTGGTATATACGTACCAGTCGTCCAAATCGGGACCTTGAAATGATGACTGTCTATAAAATAATAAAGAAAACAGCAGCAAGTCACAAGCAAAGAAAAGTATCATACCAGTTATACCATGCCAGTATCAGACATAATCTACCTCCATCATTAAAGGACAAAACCCTACGAGTTGGTAGAAGTTTTAGTAAGTGATATGAAAGAAGGACATAGTGAAATGTTGAGCTGGAATTAAGCAATCTTCTTTTTACGGTACTCTCTCCGTTACTCACGTTGGCTACAATGTTAACGTAATGTAAACCATGTCATACATCCACTCCCTAACGTTTTGTGTTTATGAGTATAAACTATAACTATAAACGCGTCTTAAAAACATAAATTTCGGGTTTCTATAGATATAGCTTAGACAGCTTATTTTTGACTTCCACTGAAGTGATTGAGTTTCCGATTGCATTTCATATGTCGTACATTTTTTCTATACGTGGTATTTTCTGTCCAGGATATTTTTAGAAATCTTGGAAAAGCCACTACTACATCGTTATTTAGAGCTGCTGTTAATAAAGTCACGATAGCGAATATAATAGCCAACATGATATCCAACGATCGATAACGGTCATGGAACTAGAAGAAGAAAAGCCACATCTCAGATGTCTCCAATCTTTTGACGACAAGTGTTCTGAGTATCCGTATTTTAACTCCATACATCAGAACCTAATGCACATAAGCTTTAAAAAATCTGTACCGTAAATTCAGCGAGAAAGAGAGACAGAGGGAAATAAATCACAAAGATACGAATCTATAAGATCATAATACCATCGATCGTAAGCTATGGATGTGAAACTTGGGCCATTGATTAAAAAGTACTGTAATAGTTTTGAATCAATGCTTGGATGTTGAATCAAAAATCTGTGAACCGCATAGATATCTTTGAAAGAAAGGTATTGAGAGTAATACTAAGCCCTATAAAAACAACAAGAAGGCAAATCATATATATATAATATATATATATATATATATATATATATATATATATATAATATATATATATAATATAATTTAATAATAAAGAACCACCTTTGGTCTAGATAAAGAAGCTCCTCAATGGACAGGCCATGTATTTAGAATGGAAGAAAACTTCCAAAAAAATTGTTGAATGCAAAAATGCAGGGAAGACCGAGAAATCTCCTTGCAGTCCAACATGGAGAAGAATGGCTACTGACCGTAACGGATGGAGAAGTTTCAGAACCGAATGCGTATAAGCTTTTAAAAATCTGTACCGTATGTTTAGTGAGAAAAGACGGACAGAATAAGACAGAGGTCGAGATTTTTAGTTATTCTATTGGCTACTAGGTGTTCTATAGTGTGACTATGTTCTAAGAGAAGACCAAAAGAATCACATCTTTCACATTGCACACCTAAAGGATACAAGAAATTTCGAGATCGATGGAGATTTTACGCCTGATAAAATTATTTATTTTAGATTTTTTTATATCTGCTTTTTTTGCGATCAATCATATCGTGCCTAGCTAAATCTTATAAACGTCAAAAACTCAATAACGGAATTCAATTGTACTCAAAGATTCGGTTGTAATATTTCATTTTTTTATCGCTATTAGTATAACCTTGAAATATAATATTACATTACTATTTGTAGGCAAGATGACAAGTTTAGCGTCGACAAATGTACCAACTGTACCTGCACTAATCAAACAGCAATATGTAACAGATATACATGTCCAATATTGGACTGCGCTCCTGATTTACAAAAGTCTGTTCCAGGCAGTTGTTGCAAAAAATGCGAACTTCCAGAAGAGTTTAGATCTGATTGCTATATCAATGGACATAATTATCAGGCAAGTAAAATATAAATTTGCATATCTTATTAGTAATTACGACAATTCTGAATAGCTAATCCTTTCTACTAACATAAATTGGTTTGTTTAGATCATCAGGAAATGTTATATGTCTATTTTAACTTTAATTTCAGCTACATTTTCTTTACCGTATTGTCTCTATATCCTGATACCAACACGTAAAAAAAAACAGAGAAACTAAATTCCTATAAACATATAAGTTTGCTGCCGATACTATCAAAGGCATTCGAAAAGCTTTTATTGATAAGATTGATTCCAATCTTAGAAATAACTAAACTATTTCGGACCACCAATTCGGCACTAAAAAGCGTGGGACAACTTAACAGGTCCACAGAATAGTAACAAATCTCCTACGTGCTGGAAAGAAAATCCTACCTGTCAGTAGCCTTCCTAGATGTCAGTCAAGCCTTCGATAAGGTTTGGCATGAAAGCCTAATTTATAAGACAAAGAAACAGTTGCCATATCCTTTCTTTATACTCCTAAAATCCTACCTATCAGATAGACACTTCCTGGTAAAGTAGCACTATGAATACACTTAGCTTTACCCTATCAAAGCAGATGTTCCACAAGGAAGCGTACTTGGACTTATTTTATTCCTAATGTTAACTGAAGACCTCCCATCCCACAGTAACACAGAAGTTGCTACTGTTTTAGATGACAACGCAATACTGGTCATGGACTCTAGTCCCATAAAAGCATCAGAAAATTTATAAAAAAACCTAAATAAAATAGAAACTTGCCACTTGCCACACTCAATGGCAAGCAATTAAGTAAGGCAACTGACACAAAATACTTAGATATCCATCTTGAGAAACGACTAAACTGTCAGAAGAACATCTTTACCAAAATAAAACATCTGGGCTTCAAATTTAGACATATTTACTGGTTAATTGATAAAAACTTTAAATTAACATTGGATAACAAACTGCATATATACAAGGCGATCCTTAATCTAATATGGGTATATGGTATTCAGCTATGGGGCTCCGCTAGCAATTCTAATCTTGCAAGCCTCCAACGCTTCCAGAATAAGGTGTTAAGGTCTATAGTAAATACTCCATGGTATATTACATACTTCTCTATAGAAAAAGATTTGAAAGTGCCTTCGGTAAAAGAAGTTAACAATTTATAGTTTCAAATATGGTGAACGGATAAAAGTGCATACCAATGTACTCGCGAAGCGATTATTCGATGTCAATAATGAAGTGCGTAAGCTGAAACGTTTTTACCTGAGATTATAAATCTTTATCTTAAAATGAATACTACCAACATTTAGATACCTCTTGATTTCGCATTGTATTATCAATTTAATGTAAATATGCTATCAAAGAGAATTAACAGCTAGCAAACTTTCAAAAACGTACTTACTGAAGAAGCCAGCCCGGAGATTCCAAATGGAGTCATAAACAGTGACATCAGTGAATCATATTGTAGAGCAAACCAATCTGTACATAGCAGACTCCAATAATCATAATAATAATATAATTAATATACATAATAAGTACCCAGAGAATGGAAAGTACGCAGACGATACCTATTATTCTTTCTACCACTGGAGTCATTCCGAAGAACCTCCTAGAAAACATAAAAAAGCTGGGTCTAAATGAATATCTATATAAGGTCATGCAGAAAGCTGTGCTACTTTCGACGTCCAGATGCGTTCGAAAATTTTTAGGACATACACCGACGTACCAAGTCACCTAGGACTCGATAACATGGAAAGAGTTCCACCAGAGCTCAATCCTTTTGATACCGTAGGTATCTGGGATGAGTGAATTTTTCCCTTAGAGGGAGTGTGAGCCGTATGGCTAAATCTACATAATAATAATGTAATAATTTTTTTCTACTCTCTTACTAGTAAATTGTCTAATACCTACTATTTGGATGCTAAGTAAATGCATCATAACAGATACTGACACGTAATGACTAGCACGTAATAAAAAAAAATTACGCTTCAGTTTTATAAAAATGTGTAATATCACATAAGCCTCGTAAGTCAGTTGGTCGAGTTACCATGGAAACGAATTAACAGACGTTATTTTGACAGATTAAAAATTATTAATCTGTCAGTGTAAATATAGTGGTAATTTAATTTTTATTTTATAAACGAAAATAATGGTAGAAAAAGTATTAGTACACAACTTGAGTTGTAAGCTTATTACATGCTTGTAAAATTACTGCGCTCGCCGCTACGCGGCTCGCGCGCAACTTTTTTACTCGCATGTAATAAGCTTCTTACAACTCTCGTTATGTAATATACTATTACCGGCTGTCATAAATTAAAGGATGTACTGGAATTTGGATGAAGATCTGAATATTCCATTTATTTCCAACGAAATGAGCAGAAATAGGTTTCTAGATATTAAAAAGTATGTACATTTAGCAGGAAATACTAAACTTATAAAATACAAAACAAAACTGATAAAATATTTAGGTTAGCCATTCGGCGAAACAATTCATCAAATCAAAACCTGTACGTTTTGGATACAAGGATTGGATCTTATGCAGTTCTACTGGTTACTGTTATGCTTTTGACATGTACTGCGGAGCTAAGCCTTCAGATAGCGAAGAGTAGATGAACCAGAAAAAGTGTAAACTGCCACTAGGATCACAAGTTGTTTTAGACCTCCTGAGTTTTGTTACAGTTCCAACTGTTCACAAAATATTTTTCGATAATTATTTTGCGAGTTGGGAACTTTTAGTGACATTGAAACAAAAAAGTTTCAGAGCAAGTATCAAAAAATGTCCTCTTGTACAAGGCAAAGAGATGAAGAGAAAAGAGAAAAGACTGGATATTATGATTATTGCTACGAACAAAAAAGTGCTATATTATTTGTAAGATGGAACGACAACAGTGCTGTAACCATAGGTACCAATTACGATACCATAGAGCCCCTTGCACAAGTGAAGCGTTGGTGTGCAAAACAGAAAGAAATAGCAATTTACCAACCTCAGTTGTGTCGTTCAAATCATAAAATTCATCAATGGGTGGTGTGGACTTACTCGATCAAGGGGTAAATAACCTTGGTTTTCTTGGTCTGTATGCATTTTTATGTTCAACATTGCTATTGGTTATGTACAAATTTGTTTTATATATTTTCTACCGATTGTTCCAGTGTACCTGGTTGTGTACACCCTGTTTTTAAACTAAATTTAAAAACCGTAAACTAATTTTCGAAACCAAATTTAGATTTTTGCTTTAATCTGTGCCTTCTAAGAATTGCAAGGCAAAACGTTAATAAAGCAAGCCGTTGATAAATCGAAAGTCAATATTTTGGGTGTGACTAAAATGTCCGTCTAAGATGAGAAGGACATGATTCTTTTTCGAAGGTTTTACAAATGCTATAGTGTTGGAACCACATTGTAAACAGATTTGCTTATATCCATCCTGTGGGATGAGCCGCAAAGCCCCTTGTTTCGGTTGATCGCCAAAATTCTTGTGTGAAAACATGACTAACGGTGGAACGAAGATTCCAGTTGCATCCATACAGCCAACGACTGTAATGAGAGATCCACGCTTAGCAGATGTCAGTGGAGCAACTTGCCTATTTCCACGCAAACCAATTACTTTAGCCACTTTTGACTGTACGATAGATATACCACTTTCATCTACATTAAAAATTCTACTGTAAATTTGTAAAGTATAAAGTATAAAGTTGTAAAGTATATTGTAAAGTGTAAATTTTTCTTTGTGATAAACCTCTTCTAGTAAATTAAAAAATCTATCGGTATTTTCTTTACTAAATCCTAAAGCCCTTGCAAAGGATGTACCAGTTGGTTTTCGTTCTGATAACTTCTTTTTGTAACGGTTTAAAAAAAGACTTATTTTTACCCAGCCATTTCAGGTTTGAAAGGGCGCTGAACGTGATTTATTTCAGCTAATTGTACAGCTATTCTTCGTAAATCTGTTCGTGTAAGACCAAAGCATTCTGCTTCCATGGCTAAACAATAATTAACTAGTTCATTCTCAAGTTGTTTGCAAAAAACCGGTGGCCTACCAATTTTTGTGAGAAATGCATCTAACGCATTTCTATATTTTTCTTTGGTCAATGGTTGCAGAGTTGATCTTCGCACATTATAAATCCTACTGGCTTTTTTTAAGCTCATTGTTTGTTTTCGGATAGCGTCAATCGCCCTTTACATGCCCAAAGGAGACCATGATCTCAATGTCTTTGTTTTCGGCATGATATCTGCAACAATATTATCCATTAATTTCAATTTTACAAGCCAAAAAAGGAGCACACATTAGGACATTTTGGGGGGCCCGGATTAAGCAACGCTTAACCAAAATTTAAATGTCAAATTTCTTATTTTAAAAATACATAAACTAAAGCCAAATATTAGAGCATGAATCAGTAGCTTGTAATGTCCTCTTTAAAATAATATAATAGTTAAAGTACTTACCAATATAATATTAAATTCTGGCAACACAAACCAAATGCGCGCCAAAACTTTCCAAACCAAGATTTAGCTTATTCACTGACTACACCTCAAACGAGTTACGACAGCGACTGAAATGGTCGGCCATGCTTTGGTCTCATAAGGAACTTCACGTTTAACAGTGTTACTGTATTAATAGTGGCTTTGCAACTATACCGTATCACAGAATAATAAACAAATAGAATGCCCACTCTCCATGGAAAATTAGGTACGCGCATCTCCTTCGCGCAGACGTTCCGCCATGTTTTAGAGGGAACCAGTGTTGTTTTGTGGTGTACATAGAAAAATTAACCTGGTTTAATTGACTTACGATAATCATCAGACATACTATACAATTAGGTATATTAACATTGTTAAATATAATAACATAAATAATAATATAATTAAACAAATATAAACAATTACATAACCTCACAAATCATATGCCTGTGTTATGTGTTTCCTTCTAAAACATGGCGCGCGTGCTGAAAAACTTCAAAGGCGGCATCTGAGAGTGGGCATTCTGATTGTTTATTATTCTGTGACCGTATTTTACATAAGTATATATCAACCTAGGGGCAGACTTTAGGAATACGGCCCAGGCTTGGGCAAGTTTCTCTATATATAAAACTACGAGTGAATTACGGGTTTTTAACTTTAACCTGCAGTTTTGTTTAAACACATTAGCATTAGGCATTGATGGAAAACCGGGCCTTCCTTTAATGTACCTTATTACACTTCCTTTAAATTTTTTAATGTTATAGTCTCATGCCTACCTAAGAATGTTGTATACAATGATATTTTTGTTAGATAGGATGGTGAACAATGGAAATTAGACGACTGCAAGTCTTGCATGTGCCAGAGAGGAATGCCTAGTTGTGCAATTACCCGATGTAATACTACATCAACGACATGTGCATATGGCACAAAGTTTCAGAAAGTTCCAGGAGAATGTTGTCCGCGATGTGTAGAAGGTAAGAATGAATTTAATTTAATATATAACTGAAACGATAGTTTAAAACTTATTAATTTTTTTAGTCGAAGGAACCTGTATGGTTTTTGGTGACCCTCATTACAAAACATTCGATGGGAAAATCTACACCTTTAAAGGAATTGGCAAATACCAATTGACTGCTGATTGCACCAATCATACATTCTTTGTAAGAGTTGCCAATGTCCTCCTTGACGGAACCTCTTCTACCACCAGAAGGGTATCCATTAAGTACTTAAATGCCAGATTAAATCTTCAACAAAAAGGACGAATAAAGTTTAACGGTACGGTGAAAACAATACCTTTTCAAGTTGATGGGAAATTTAAAGCAGAAAAGAAAAAGGATAATTCTGTGGAAATAATATTGAACAATGGGGTCAAAGTATACTGGAACTTTAAAAGTTTTGTAGAAGTCACTGTTCCTGCAACTTTAAAAAACCATGTTTGTGGTCTCTGCGGTAACTTCAACTACGACGTGAAAGACGATCTGACTTCCAAAGTAGGTAAAATGCTTTCAGATAAAGAAATCCTGGCTTTTGGTGCGTCTTGGTGCCTTGGAAATAAATTCGAATGTGCTAAGAAAATTAGAGTACAGAAACTGGAGAAACCTCTAACGCCTATGAAAAAAAGTGCTTGTAGATACTTTAACAGCGATACCTTTTCATCTTGTCGCTCTAAATTGAGCACTCTTAAATACTTTAAAGCGTGCAAGATGGACATGGATCACTGCAAAGGTCATAAATGTTACTGTGATAGCTTAATGGCTTATGTGAGAGAATGTGAACGACTCGGTGTTAACCTGAATAACTGGCAAAAGTATACGTTATGTGATCTAGCGCATTTACGAAATTTAAAAAGAAAACCGAAAAGATTACGTCAACGTAACAGAAACGAACAGCAAGCACTCTTATTGAAGCAGTTGCCAAAAGTTCTGAATCGAACTAGGAGCTCTGTAGGCGTACCTTTAACATAATTTGTTACTATTGAAGTAACCTAGTCATTTTCAGTATTTTAGACTTGACAAAGGTCTCGACAGTCTGTGTTGGCACACTTCTTGATTTGAGTGCTGCTTGATGATTTTTTACGAAACATTACAATTGAATTTGACTCTATAAAGCCGCGTCTGTGTGATTGTAGCTATAAACCTAGGCCAGTAGGGTTTCTGATGGTTCGGTATGATGGTTATTAGTAATATGTATTACAATTTCTGCAAATAATTGTAACTCACTGCTGAATATAGGTGTATTCAATTCAGCCTCATTTGTATACAATTCCGATGCTGTTGCCACTGTATGTATTGACATTCTACTCTTAAATTATTTCGCGTGCTCAAAGTTTAAGTGTTTTAAACTTTTTATTATCATGTATTCATATTTTGGCCATTTTGTATGACATATGTGTCTGTGCAGAGGAAAAGAACTTTAGTACAAGATTGGGTACTGTTTTTTCATGTTATTGTTATGTTTTATATGAGTTAGCTCTAAAATATTCATTAGAGAGACCATTAAATGAAAAAAAGTCCACATATTTCAAATCGGTTTAGCCAATATAAAATTCTTCAGGTAAAAGCGTGTTTTGCAATATTTTAGATAAATATTGCTTGACTGCAGAAAAAACGCAGAAGCTTCAGTTTACTACTTATCTTCGATATGGTTCTGAAATTATTTTTTTGTGGCTCCTTTTTGAGTAAATATTTTCTACATGGGAATAAACCACAATTAATTATAATAAAAATTACATTTTTGTTTTCTTTTGACGTTTCGATGTACAATTCGGAAATCGTTTTCAAACAATCCCTGAAATAAATTTGATACAGCGTTGCAACTTTAATAATTGTATTTTATTCCCTTTTATAGAATATTCAGATTCATCTTTAAAGTCTTAAATATTTTTTGTCATACTAGTTAATTATTGTGTTTTTATCGCCTAGTTACTAACTACGTAAGTGTACTTTATGCCTGCGCGTGCATAAAGTGTATTTTATGGCCCGCACGGACGTAAAGATACAAACAAAAAGATAACTTATTAGAAACATCTTTATTTAACAATATTTTAAAACATTATTTAGAATTCACATAAAACTGGCAATTTGAAAGGATCCATTGATATTTAGATTACCCGCGGCAAACGTTGATTCATGTTTCATAGCTTGGGTGTCAAGTTTCTGTAAAGAAACGCCGGATCCAGAAGCATTCTTAAAATCTTATTCTTTAAAGATATGCTGTCAACATATGTTCAACGTGGTCATACTGACTTCAGCTTCTGCCAGAAGAGTTGCCGAAGTCCGACGCAGTGAATGACCTACGTACTTCTCAGGACTGCTTAAACCCAGAGATTTTGCAATTGTGGACGGGATTTTTCCAAATGTGTTCTTTCCAACTGGCTGTACAGTACAACGACCTTGTCTGTTGGTTAAAAAAAGCCTTTTTTCTGAAGAACCACGGGGTCGTAAAGACATGTAATCCCGTAATAACTTTAAACTTTTCAGTTCATCTTCGTCAATAATTGTAAAAATAAGCTGTTTATCAGTTTTTGTTGCTGGTACGTTTACGAGGAAAACTGATTTCTATCTTTTAAGTGAGTAACCAACATATTCACAAGTTTTTGTCGTCGACACTCACCAAATATACCAAATATTAATGCTACTTTGTTCATTAAAAATATTTCGTTGGGTACTTCGTGAATAAATTTTAAAACATTTTCTCCAGACAAGATTCGAAACTTTTTTGGCTAGTAGCCTTTTGAGCCTTGCTTCAAATATTCGGTCAATTTATGGTAATTGGCAATATTAATATTCTTATTTACGATTAAAGTCTTCTGTACCATTGAATATTTGGACCACAGGGAAGTACCACAGTATTCTACTTGATTTTCTGTCATCCAGTGCTGAAGTTTTTCATATTCCTTGGCGTAGGCATCTCCCGACTTAAGTGGTAGTAACTTTTGCGTGCTTTTTTTGCTTTTTTTTTTAATTTGGTTACGGATCTCAAAAATATCTTTTTTTTTTTCATGTTTTTGTTTGACACGTTTGACAGCATTTCCGAAGCGTAGCGTTTCCATATATTGTCAAAATGAAATCGAATTTTCGAATTTTTTAGAACATATTTATTTGTAGATGCAATAACGAACTAGTATGACATAAAAATTTTTATGCACCGCGGGTATTAATAGATGTATATGCCCTCGGGCGACTTACAAACACTCGTGTTTGTAATATCGTCACCCTCTGGGCACAGAATAATAAGCAATCAGAATGCCCACTCTCCATGGAAAATTAAGTACGCGTATCTCCTTCGCGCAGACGTTCCGGCATGTTTTAGAGGGAACCAGTGTTGTTTATGTGGTGTACATAGAAAAATTAACCCGGTTTTAATCGGCAATCATAGACATACTATACAATTATATTAACATTGTTAAATATAATAACATAAATATAATATAATTAAACATAAATATAAACAATTACATAACCTCACAAATCATATGTCTGTGTTATGTGTTTCCTTCTAAAACATGGCGCGCGTGCTGAAAAAACTTCAAAGGCGGCATCTGAGAGTGGACATTCTGATTGTTTATTATTCTGTGCTCTGGGCATTAATATCTCTTTAATAAACAACTATTATTTTTTCTTCTTTAGTTATATTCCAATCATAATCAATACTTTTGGGTTTATACTATTTAGTTCTAAGATTATTCTTTCAGTATATCCTGGTGACCATTTCTTTTCTTTTGTCTACTATTTTGTTGTTGTATTATATTCGGATTTTTGCGTTGAAATCTCCAAGCAGAATCAACTACATAGAACTACCTGTATTTATTATTAGGTTGTTTAGCTATTTGTAATATTTGTATCTAACATTGACATAAAAAAATTATCACGTTCTCCCATAATATAAGAACCTTTCTTCTTGGTTTCTGTGGCAACTATCAAGCTACCCTTATTTTATTCAGTTAATTTACCACGTGTTTGATCTTTTCACTTATTACCTGTATGCAGGTATGTTCCATGAAGAATTTATTTTAATTATGTTAAAATGTAATTTACATTTATTCTGAGCCAATATAATATATTAAAAGTTTGTTATAAAACCTAACAAACATAAATTACAATACATACTATTAATACGCACAGAATATATATGTGGGGTTATGCTCTTTCTTGTAGATGTGAGGTTATACTGCGGCTTATGGGAACTATAGGCCTTTTCATCAGCCGCCATGTTTTTCGTACAGTTTTCAATGACATATAATATACGCTATACGTCATAAGTCACTAGTGTATAAATTTATAAAGAAATATTTATTAAATGAAAATTTTTATTGAATACAGAAATTATATTGATGATTAAGAGCGTGTATCACTCTTACATAGGTACTCCATAACGACTTCGCTTCGTTGTTCCTTTTCATACAGGTATCATAATAAACGATTTAAAAAATCTTTAGTTAAGGCACTTTTTTCCCTATTATCATATTTCTTTTTTTCAATAACTAGACGTTTTTATATTTATTATCTTAATTATGTGTTCACATGCACTTTATTGTTATTTATATTACTAACCTAAGCTAATACTAAATAACTAATGTTTATTTACAAAAAAAAATGTACGCAAAAAATGGCTGATACCATTTTATGATGAAAAGTCCTATTGTAGCTACACTAAAGAGTAAAACTTACTGGTATATTATCTGTCAAATATCGAAAATTTGACAGATGACAGAAAGATTTTCCAATAATTGGAAATATCGCTTTGTTTTAATACAAATATGTATTACAACAGCTTGAATTTTATTGTTTGTAAAATTTTTGTACGAAAAGTCGTTCACATTCACTCAGTCGAAAATATGACATTAGTTCAGATATAATTTTATGTATACATTAGGGTATTGTATTTATTTTTATATTTTAGTGCAATGGATAAAATAAAGTTTTAATGATAATGAAGAATGCCAAAAATAGCAATGTAATATATTCCAAATGTATAAAGCACATGTTACAAACGATTAAATCCAATATTAAATGCTGATGAAATCAATTTTGGTTACTTACAAAAATATAAACAGATTATGATTAAAAAAAGAAACGTTAAAAGTTCAAACTTTCTAAATTACAAAACTGTATCAAACTATGTATTTTACGAGTGAACAAGAATTGGCAATATTTTGTGAGTTGTATATAAATTATATTAACATAAAAACTTTGAGTATGTTATTCACTTTAAAGGAAATATTAGTACTAAAGTGATTTTCTCTAGATATTCTATCTTTTGTTTTCTATTTTGTGTAGTTTGAGTTGGCACTACTATTTAATCTTTTGGGTTATCCAAGTTTCTTTAAATTACTGTGATATATTATCAGGAGTAATATTAGTATTACTTCCTTACTGTTGAGAATTGTTTCTCTTTGCTAGACATTCTTCTTTTTGTCTCCATCCAGTTAGTTAAGTTAATTTAATATTAGTACCATGCACTTTTCTTTATTATTAAATCCACTGCTTCAATTGCATAGTTCAAATCAGGTAAAAGGAGTGCAAAAGTATCATGTTATCTGCCAATATGATTTAGTAAACATTGTAAATAAGTAAATCATTATCAGACTCCTATCCTGCAATTGTCGAATATTTCATCTCTTTATAAAACGTATTTTTATTAGATTTAGATATATACGGATGTTCTATTGCTGCTCCCATCTATCCGTCCCTATTTCCATACACTTGTATCATAGGTTGTTACCTCTTTTAGGATCCTTGCTGTCATTCTTCTTCGTATTGCGCCGTCTTCTTTCGAAGGTTGGCGATACAAATAGCAATTGTAGCCAAAAACTGCTGTACGGAAGTTTTCTGTGGATGAGCGGTCAAACTTTACCTTCCAATACAATTTGGAGTAATTCATATTTTTCACCTCTCAACACATGACCCAAATATTGCATTTTTCTCTTATTATGCTGAGTAATTATTTTTGTTTACTTATGCGC